TTACAATCAGATTCTTTACCATCTGAGCCGCTAGAGAAGTCCAGGGTCTTTGCTAACTACCTGTATTATACGCATTTTCTTTATTAATACAGAGAGCATTTTGAAATCTACTTTGCCATACAGCATCATTAGGCTTGTAAGAAGAGACTAAATATTGTAAGCATGGGGACACAGGATTGGGAACTAGAAGAAACTATAGAGATTAAGAATTCATACTCATCAGGATATTATCACATATTGTCTGGCCTACTGGCACTGATTCACAATCAATGGTCCATCATCTCTCTGTGAATTTCCATCACCTACATATCTGCCAAAGGCCTGCTCAATGGTTAATCATCAAATTATTGGGCCACTAAGGCTTAAAGAACAAAACCCCATTTCCTCTGTGTGAAGTTCACCTCAACACCTTCACTCCAAGTCCAAGACCAACAGGCTGTGCTTTCAACACAGGTTGCACTTCACCTTCCTACTATTTTGCTAATGTTGTTCTCTCCCTAGAAAGCCTTCTCTCCTTCTCCCACTATTGAAATTGTCCTTAAAACTCAAGGCCCAACTCAAATTATACTCCCTCTGGGGTCTCCATTTGACCTGCTCAAATTTAACTCTTTCCATTTTGTGCTCCCTTGGTTTTTAAAAAGTGGCTAGTCTAATATTTAATAAAAATTGATTAAATGGAGTATACCTCTTTCTCTATTCCTTACTAAATATGTTCCTTGATATCTAGATAAGACCTTATTCATTTATCTCCCTCCTATTTATTATAATACCTTACACATAGAATATGCGCATGTGTGCTAAGTCACTTCAGTCATGTCCAACCCTGTGTGACCCGATGGACTGCAGCCTGCCAGGCTGCACTGTCCATGGGATTTTCCAGGCAAGAATACTGGAGTGGCTTGCCGTGACCTCCTCCAGAGAATCTTCAAGACCCAGGGCTTGAACCCACGTCTCTTACGTCTAACCTGCATTTGCAGGCAGGCTCTTTACCACTAATGTCACCCGGGAAGCCCGTGATATAGATAATGGATAACCAACAAATATAAATTAAATGAAATGAGAAATCCATCTTCTCCTAAAATAGAGATACTTCGAATTACAATAGGAAATTTAAAGTAATTTTCTCTACAACTCTAAGAATAAGTGATTCAAATAGAAAATATAATATGATGGTACTTCTCCATATTAAATATTTACACATTTATTTATAACAGGTATTAGAACTAGCCTATTTTTTTTTAATTTTATTTATTTATTTATTTATTTTTGCATTCCAGTGTATAATTTTTTTCCATTTATTTTTATTAGTTGGAGGCTAATTACTCTACATCATTACAGTAGTTTCTGTCATACATTGAAATGAATTAGCCATGGATTTTAGTGCTGCGATGAACATTGGGGTGCACGTGTCTCTTTCAGATCTGGTTTCCTTGGTGTGTATGCCCAGAAGTGGGATTGCTGGGTCATATGGCAAGAACTAGCCTATTTAAAACTTCTTTCTATTTAGCAATCTAAAGCAAATTTAAACTCAAGTGAAACATTTTTTTAAAAACACAGACTAATAATGCTTTACAGTGCATTTAGGGAGAACAGAAATGTGAGCTTTCCAAACCTCTTACAGGTGGAGGAATTTCCCAGAGGTTTTGGAACACTGGGTCTAAGAGTTTGGGAATTAGGTCTTAGAAATGAATATGTTGCTCCTTCCAGAATACAGCTAGGAGAGTAGCAAAGAGCAGCAGAATAGGGAAAAAAGTGGTGCCTTGGAGCTAGGAAAGCCAGGGCAGTGTGGTTTCAGTTCCCTGGAGCCACAGCCTCCAGCTGATTTCTTAATGATCCTGCCACCTACTGACCAAGTATGAATCAAGGCACTGCAATTGACAAGGAATTTCAACTGTTACAATTAAGATCAAACAATAGTTATTAAAATAAATGGAAGCATGTATCATTCTAGTTTGTTTTGACTATGTTATGAAATATGGGCTTCCCGGGTGGCTCAATGAGTAAAGAATCTGCCTGAAATGCAGAAGATGGAGTCGCAGGTTCGATCCCTGGGTCGGGGAGATCCTCTGCAGGAGGGCATGACAATCCACTCCAGTGCTCTTGCCTGGAGAATCCCATGGACAGAGGATCCTGGTGGGCTATACTCCATGGCATCACAAGGAGTCAGACACGACTGAAGCAATTGAGCACATGTGTGTGTTATGAAATATGCTATGATGCATAATTGTTCCTTTAAAGGTCCCTTCAGAAATAAATCTTAGTAAAAGTAATGGTACCCAAAGGTGCTCCCAACCAGATTTGGACTCAAATATTCAAAATTAGGGCTTCCCTGATGGTTCAGTGGGTAAAGAATACGCCTGCAATGCAGAAGACACAGGAGACACAAGCTTGTCCCCTGGGTTGGGAAGATTGCCTGGAGAAGGAAATGGCAACCCACTTCAGTATTCTTGCCTGAAAAATACTATGGATAGAGGAGCCTGTTGTGCTACATTCCATGGGGTCAAAGAGTGGGACACAACTTAGTGACAGGGATTCAAAATTAGGAAAGCAGAAGTAGTAGTAATAGCACATAGAAAATTCAGAGAATCAGAGTTAAGACAAATGGAAATGCAGAATTCTCAGCAGGGAGTACATGAGAGCCTTTACATAACTTTTGTTTGATTTTAATTTGGTTTGATTATCATTTAGCAACCAGAATAAGAATGGCTTCTACTCTAGCTCTACACACAGCATCATGTTAAATCAAAAGGAAAGGGGAATTGATATTTATCGAGTGCCTGCTATATCAAGCACCATGCTGGGTCCTTTAAATACATGACATTATTTAATTCTCATACTACTAGTTAAACATCAGCCTTTCTTATTTTATAGATGAGAAAATTCAGTCTCAGAGGTTACTAGTATCACAGCTGAAATATAAATATGTGACTCCATTTTCCCTGGGCTTTTCCCACTATACCACAATACCTTGAGAAACTCTCTAACGGATTTTATAGTAACCTGCATGTATCAAACTTCACTTTGTTCATTTGTAAAACAGAGTTCGGTTTAATCATTTCTAAGGTCCAGATGGACTCTAAAATTTTATGAAATATATAATTCTTATGGGACTCAATATAAATACATCAATAAGTAAAACAATAAATGCTCAATACAAAATGTGCAAAGAAGTAGAGGAAGAAGTTCACAGAAAAAGAGGTTAAAATTGCCTTTGAAGAGAAGAAAAACTACTACACTTTTAAGGAGTAAAAATTGTAACATGGATGATTTGCCATTTACCTCTGAGATAGGCAAAGGTTGTAGGCAAACAGGTACTCATACATTTTAGATGTAACACTATAAATGAATACAAACTCTTTGGAAGGAAATTTGGTAATATCTATCAAAATTTCATTTCATCTAATAATTTCACTTCTAAAACTTATCCTACAAATAAGTCCTATGTGCACAAAGATATATATGTAGATACATGTTCACTGCAAAATTGCTTGAAATAGCAAAAGACTGTAAATAATCTCAATATCCATTAATAGGTAATTGGTTGCATAAATTCAGACAGGGACTATATGACAAAATTCTATGCATTGTGTAAAAAGAACACAGTAGATAAACATAAACTACTGTGGAATAATATTCAAATATATAAAGTGAAAACAGAAAGAAGTAAAAAACAAAAAGTGATAAAAACATATATACTTCTATAAGCACAGACTATTTCTAGGAGGCAATATGAGAAATCAGTAAGAGTGGTTTTTTCTGGGGAAGAAGCTGTAAGTCTGGGATTGAAGTGATATGTTTACCATGCATATTTTTATTGTTATTACTAATGCCTTCATATAAGCATGTTTTAGTTTTTCAATTAAAAAAAACAGATTATAATAAATAGTAATCTCTGGAGTCCTTGAAGAATCTTTTAAATGTGAAGTTTACAAGAGTAAATGAAGGAAAAAAAAACTTTTGCAGGAATTTTTTAAATGTCAAAATTCTTCAGAATACTCTAGTTCGCCCCAGATTTCTGTGTATGTGTGAGCTTCAATCTATGAGGAAAAACAGATACAGCACAAGCGCCTCCATTGCATAAGATAAGCTAGAAGGGCTGAACAGGAATAATTTTCACCTCCCCTTCTCTCTCTCTAATCTTCCAAAATTCACATTCTCACATTCCAGGGTATGTTGTGACAAATCAGACAAATGAATGGTAAAGGTGCTAATTCCAAGGGCATGGGCGTGTGGAATATATCAATTTCTTAGTTGTAAAGACTCACTCAGGCTGAAAAAACCTCCTACGCTCAAGTAAGCTATCAGTTCGGAAATAATTAGTAAAATAGCAATGTTAAAATAGCAAAAGTTCACAAATCATAATGATTCATTATGAGATTGAGAAGTTACCTACATAGTACCAAAATTAGGTGTGCCATTCATAGAGGTTAAGGACCTAATCATAAAAAAGGTGCTCAATTATCAATCAGTAAAATATATTTATTAGTTACCAGATTTTGATATTATTCCAGAAAAATCTGCGTATAGAAAAAAGTATAAAATTTCCTTAGAAACCAAATGGATTATTACAAACGTAACACTGTATAAGCACTATGAAACCAGTCTTACTTCAATTTCATGAAAACTTCTGAGTCCTTGCTATTCTGTTACATTATTTTCCCTTACACAGTTAATCAACAAATTCATCACCTTTGCTTCTCAGTAAAGATGATAACTTTATAACGGAGGAGTGTAAACAATAAAAAAATTAAAACATTTTATTTTAAATCATAAAAATAAAACCTATATTTCCAGTTGAATAATACTTACGCAAAATAAAATTTAAAGGAAAAAAAAACCTATCATTTTTCAGTTGCTGGGTAAAATATAGTTAATAGGACAATCTAATATATTTGACTCTGACCCCAAACTATACACCTACACATTACTGGAAATTTTTAGCAAAGCACTGAATTCAATGTATCAGAGCAAGAACTTTATATTAAAAAAATAAAACATACCTTTCATCTGGGTAGCAAAATTCAGTGCCAATTTTGCAAACAGATCTGGATTTTCAAACTTCTCCTCCTTAACTTTCAACCAGAAACAATTCTCAGACAATTCTTTGGGTTCAATCTAAAACAAAAATAACAAAGAGAGGTCTCTAAATTATTACTGTGCATTTATTTTTTCAAAGAATTCACTTTCACCAAGGTTGAATGACATTACCTTTATTCATCAACCTACTAAATCAATTTTAGGATCTATCGAAACAACACTTTCTAAGTAAACATCATTAGGAATGTCACAGACTTCTATTGGTGTACAGAAAAGTACACAACAGCAATAGGCCATGTAGCAAATTACATTTTAAAAAATCTTCTACTTGAAGGAATCTTAAAAAATAATTGAGTAAATCCCTCCCCTCAACTTACATACATTCTTCTTGCTCCTGGAATTTTAATAATGGGGAAACTGAGACTGAGAAGAATAACTCTCCCATGTTTGCTGACTAGGTTGCAGACAATAACCATAACAGCTGACAATTACATACCTCCTATGTGTCAAGCACTCTTTTAAGTGATTTCACATATTAATTAATCTCATCTAATCCTCTGAATAATCCTCTGAAGCAGGAACTGTTATTATCTCCATGTTAAAGATGAGGAAACTGAGCCCTAGGATGTTTCAGGAGCTGCCCAAGCTAGTAAATGGCGAAGATGAGATTTAAACTCGGGCAGCTTAGTTTTGCAGAATTGTGCTCTTAGCCACTGCACTGAAATCCAATATTAGAACTGTGCATCTTCCACTACATATCATGTTTTGTGTGACTGTAAGTGCCATTACACTGTATGCTTAACTGCTAAATGAGCATATCATGACATTTACACACAGATAACTGGGCCAGCAACTTCTGGATCCTATAGTTTGGTTGATCATGAGTAATAAAAAATAGCTACATTCCAAAAACATTTAGATCTCATTTACTCTTCTGAGCAAAGCACAAATATATGCTTAACTGCAAAACTGATTTAACCATTATTCTGATTAAACCAATTTAATATATCGATACTGTCAGATATCACTGATATGTTCTTGGAATAGCCATTTCCACAGATGATGGTCTATACAACTGTATTTTCACTACATTTAGTTCCTACTGAATGGTGACTGTGTCAATCTAGATAATAAGTTTTTCATAAGACATGTTATTGAATAATAATAAAACAAAATAACAGTCAATAAATCTTTCAGACATCATATAAGAAACAATTACTTTAATGTCTACACTGAATACTATCAGCGATTCCACACTATCTGAAAGTTTAAAACTAAAACAAAATTTCTAAGAACAAAAATAACTAAGATAAAAGGGCTCATTAATAAAAAGGTTATATTTAAGAATGTTATAGCAATTAAAGTTAACAATGGTAAAAGAATCAAAATTATTTTTCGTATACCATTTTCATTTTGATTTACCTTTCGCCTTCTATGTTAATTTCAAGTTACCTGTGGAGTTTCCAATTCTCTAGTTATGAAAGATGAACATAAGATGGGGAACTCACAAGCAAAAGCAAAAGAATCAATGGTCATGTTCTCAAATGTTACATGGAGTAATTTTGTGACCTCCCATGGACTGTATGTAGCCTGCCAGGCTCCTCTGTCCACGGTACAGACATGACTTAGCAACTAAACAACAACCACAACAACGTATAGCAATACCGTCATTCACACGTTAATGACCAACTATGGCTAGACAAAGCCAAAAAACTATAATCACGGCATTACCTTTGACCAATTGATCCTCTTCATGGACACCTCAGGTGTATATACTTTTTTCTGCTTCATTCCATATGGCAGATCGAGGGGTATTCCCGGAGGTGGAGGAACTCCTCCAAGGGGAGGTGGCGGAGGAGGTCCCCCAAACAGTGGCGGTGGTGGTGGTATTCCAGGCATCCCAGGTAAAGGAGGTGGAGGCGGGGGACCTACTCCGGGTAGAGGTGGTGGAGGTGGAGGTGGAGGTGGGGATGGCCCAGCACCTGGCAATGGAGGTGGTGGAGGAGGGCCTGGAATTCCTGATGAACCATGTCCCTGAAATATACAATAAACCAATGGTTATTCAAATGTTTACAGAATAGCATAGTAGCAAAGAAAACTAATCAGTAGACATTTGTGGTTGGGTAGTTTAAGATTTATTTAATTTTGACAACATCTAAAGGCTTAAGAGTGAGTTTCCCTGGTGGCTCAGATGGCAAAGAATATGCCTCCCAATGCAGGAGACCTGGGTTCTATCCCTGGATCAAAAAGATCCCCTGGAGGAGAAGTGGCAACCTACTCCAATATTCTTGCCTGGACAATCTTAATGGACAGAGGAGCCTGGTGGGCTACCTACAGTCCAGGGTTGCCTAGAGTCAGACAAGATGGAGCGACTAACACACAAGGGCTTAAGAGTACATGAAAAAGACTTGCACAGATATTTGATAAGCATTATAAACCCTGAAGAATGACTAATTTTGCTAATATACTAAGGCTCAAAGATTTTGTGAAATACTGCTTCAAAATAATGAAAACTTACCTTTCATTATAAATTTATGAAAAGAAGAAGTACTATGTATGGTTTGAGCCTGCTGGCCTAGTTGGTATGAACTGTCACTATTGTTTAGTCACTCAGTCATGGCCAATTCATTGCAACTCTGTGGACTATTGCCTACCAGGCTCCTCTTCCCATGGGATTTCCCAGGCACGAATACTAGAATGGGCTGCCATTTCCTTATCCAGGGTATCTTCCCAATCCAAGGATTGAACCCTCATCTCCTGCATTGGCAGGCAGATTCTTTACCACTGAGGCACCAGAGAAGCCACATTGGTATGAATATAAGATGATTACTACAAAATAATAGATTTGATTCCTTTGGGTCCAATTAGCTTTACACAAAGTATCTGTCTCATAGCACTAGTAACTTAGCTGTCTTCTAATACCAAGAATTAACACAAAGTAACTTCCATTTACTGATTTAGAAGGCAGAGGAACCAGAGATCAAATTGCCAACATCTGTTGGATCATCAAAAAAGCAAGAGAGTTCCAGAAAACCACCTACTTCTGCTTTATTGACCATGCCAAAGCCTTGGACTGTGTGGATCACAACAAACTATGGAAAATTCTTAAAGAGATGGGAATACCAGACCACCTGACCTGCCTCCTGATAAGTCTGTATGCAGGTCAAGAAGCAACAGTTAGAACTGGACATGGAACAACAGACTGCTTCCAAATTGGGAAAGGAGTATATCAAGGCTGCATATTATCACCCTGCTTATTTAACTTATATGCAGAGTACATCATGAGAAATGCTGGGCTGGAGGAAGCACAAGCTGGAATCAAGATTTCCAGGAGAAATATCAATAACCTCAGATACCAGATGACACCACCCTTATGGCAGAAAGCAAAGAGGAACTAACGAGCCTCTTGATGAAAGTGAAAGAGGAGAGTGAAAAAGCTGGCTTAAAACTCAACATACAAAAAATGAAGATCAGGGCATCTGGTCCCATCACTTCATGGAAAATAGATGGGGAAACAATGGAAGCAGTGACAAACTTTATTTTCTTGGGCTCCAAAACCACTGCAAATGGTGACTACAGCCATTAAATTAAAAGATGCCTACTCCTTGGAAAAAAAGCTATGCCAAACCTAGATAGCATATTAAAATGCAGAGACATTACTTTGCCTACAAAGATCTGTAGAGTCAAAGCTATGGTTTTCTCAGTAGTCATATATGGATGTGAGAGTTGGACCATAAAGAAGGCTGAGTGCCAAAGAATTAATGCTTTCAAATTGTGGTGTTGGAGAAGACTCCTAAGAGTCCCTTAGACTACAAGGAGATCAAACCAGTCCATCGCAAAGGAAATCAGTCCTGAATATTCATTGGAAGGCCTGATGCTGAAGCTGAAGCTCCAGTACTTTGGCCTCCTGATGTGAACAGCCAACCCATTAGCAAAGATCCTGATGTTGGGAAAGATTGAAGGCAGGAGGAGAAGAGGATTGCAGAAGATGAGATGGTTGGATGGCATCACTGATTCAATGGACATGAGTTTGAGCAAGCTCCGGGAGATGTTGAAGGACAGGAAAGCCTGGCCTGTTGCAGTCCACAGGGTTGCAAAGAGTTGGACAGATTTAGCAATTAAACAACAACAACAGGTGAAAGTGTCCATCATGTGCTGTGTATGCTCAAGATCAGTGACACTTCAGAAGATACACTTGAGAGTAACTGGATGTGTTGTGCTGGAACAGATAAAGAACTGACTTCCTTGAAGGCAAGATGATGCTACTTCAGAAAGCCCCAAATCCTCATTCATAGGAGAATTTCTGATCTATTTTATATCCACTTTCTGTGCTGACTCATGCTCTTTCACGTGCTCTTCAGTCCCTCAGAACATTTTTCTTTCTGAGTTTCCTTTTGGGTTGTTTTTTCATTTGGCCTCAGAGCATTACTTATCCTCCTTAAAGGACCAGAACAGAGGAGTGTCAACCCGAGCTTTTCCATTACAAATGCACTCGCCTGCATCTACCTGATGAATCCAGGTAGAGGCACAGACCTGGCACACCCCTCTGCCCTCCAGTACACACTCAGTAAGGGCTCTTTCTGGACACATATCCACTTGTGCTTCACACAACAGCCCTCCTCCCCATTCCGTCTGCAAAAGGCCTAAAAGTACAACTGAAAATCGATTCTGGTAAAATCTACATGGTCATCTGTTTCTACAGACAAAGAATTACACTTAAATCAATATTTATCTGCTTCCAACTCTCTCACCTCTGGCTCAGTAGTTTTATGAGATTTAAATGAGCATGAAGAGATCTTTGCCTTATCATAGGTGGTATCTTATGGAATTAAGAAATACCAGTGACAAAAAAACAAAAAACAAACAAAAAAACCCAGAGCATTGACAAGCAATATAATTTTAAGTGGAATAGATAAAATATTAAGACAGATAATACTGCAGTTGGGGGTACAGATACATTATAGAAAACAGAAATATTAAACATATATATAAAAATGCATAGAAAATAGCATGCCTGATCAAAGTTTGGGTTTCCCTGATAGCTCAGTTGGTAAAGAATCCACCTGCAATGCAGGAGACCCCGGTTAGATTCCTGGGTCAGGAAGAGTCCCTGGAGAAGGGGTAGGCTACCCACTCCAGTATTCCTGAGCTTTCCTTGTGGCTCAACTGGTGAAGAATCCGCCTGCAATGTGGGAGACCTGGGTTCGATACCTGGATTGGGAAGAGCCCCTGAAGAAGGGAAAGGCTACCACTCCAGTATTCTAGCCTGGAAAATTCCACAGGCTGTATAGTCCCTGAGGTTGCAAAGAGTCGGACACAACTGAGCATCAAAGTTTACTGCTTGAAAATCTTTTAAAAAATAATTTTATGAAAGTCTAACTTTTGCTTAATTTTTTATATCATTTAATAAGAGATCATCATTTGCTCATTAAATATTAACTGTGACAGAAAACCTAAGTGAAATTCTTCCTCTATGCACCACCCCATCCTGATTTCTGTGGAAAATTAATTTTCCTTTCAAATTCTTTTACCTTCTGCTCTACCCTGTTATATAATGAAATGCTGGCTTCTTCTAGATTGCCTGACTTTTTAAATAAAAACAGCTTCCCATCGACCAAAATTCTCCTAGAGGTAAATCACAAGAGTCAGTTTGAGTGAATTTTTCCTCCCATTCTTCTCCAGGTGGGGTAATTGAATTGATGTGCTGTGTGGCTTCAAGGCAGTGGCATTCCAGGATGTCAGATGTTGCTATGGTGCTAAGTCACATCGCCTGGCAGCCTTTTGACTGTGTCTTCATCTCTGATCTTAGCTATGCCACACTCATTACTAATTCACTCCTCGCTGTGCCCAAACATCTGCATATTCTCAGTTTTTATATCCCCCTCCCTTCAAGAATGCCCATCATTCTCCATCTTCAGTTATTAATGTAACTCATTACAGACTTCTCCAGCTGTCCTCAAAATGTATGCTGAATAAGACATGAGGAGGAAAGCTTAGAAAAAAAAAATATCTTTCCAGGCCAGGCAAATCATTAGATGAATTTATGTCAGAAAGCAGAAGAAAATTTTCCATACTGTATAGTTAGCTTTGTTACTTAGTCACATGCACTATAAGGTGGATAAAGGATACTCTTTTATTCCAATATGATTATCAATGATAGCATACATTCAGTTTCAGAAGATGCTTCCACATTCAGAATTTTTCCCCTAATAATGGAATTAAGTAAAGGAAATTTTCTCCCCTAAAATTCTATTGACTTAAAATGAGGACTTTTAACTGCTGCAAAATGTCTAGTTTTTTTTAAATTAAATTAAGCCACATGCTTCAATTTGTATATATATAATAGACATAACTGGTGTATGCACATATATGTAACAGCATTAGTAATAAGTACATGTAATTTTAGATGAAAACTTGTTTTATAATACCTCACAGATAGCTGCCTGACACAAAAATATTAAAGAACAAGAAAACATGGGACTACTCATCGCATCCTTCATTCAGTTCAGTTCAGTTCAGTTCAGTCGCTCAGTCATGTCCGACTCTTTGCAATCCCATGAACCACAGCACGCCAGGCCTCCCTGTCCATCACAAACTCCTGGAGTCTACCCAAACCCATGTCCATCGAGTCGGTGATGCCATCCAACCATCTCATCCTCTGTCGTCCCCTTCTCCTGCCCTCAATCTTTCCCAGCATCAGGGTCTTTTCAATGAATCAGCTCTTTGCATCAGGTGGCCAAAGTATTAGAGTTTCAGCTTCAACATCAGTCCTTCCGGTGAACATACAGGACTGATCTTTAGGATGGACTGGTTGGATCTCCCTGCAGTACACGGGATTCTCAAGAGTCTTCCCTAACACCACAGTTCAAAAGCATTAATTCTTCAGCACTCAGCTTTCTTTATAGTCCAACTCTCACATCCATACATGACCACTGGAAAAACCATAGCCTTGACTAGATGGACGTTTGTTGGCAAAGTAATGTCTCTGCTTTTTTAATATGCTGTCTAGGTTGGTCATAACTTTCCTTCCAAGGAGTAAGCATCTTTTCATTAGAAAGCAGTTATTATTCATATGCATGACTTAACCATCAGCACAATTGTATATGGTATCATTTTACTGAATATTGGAAGACACCAGTATCTACCCCCTGTACTCTCCTTATCCAATGGTTAATATCAGAAAGTTAACACTCGTTTTTCCCTTCATTTTCCACTCTAGTTTGCCTTTCTAGTCATCTTTGTTGTTTCTTTTTCCTCTATGACTCCATCCAATCATTTATTTTTCATTTATTCCTGTATTAATGTTTATTTGCCCAGTCAATGAAAGCCAAGATCTTTGCTAAAAATACAAATATAGTACCAGTAGAGGATTTTATATGTATTCACCTATAAATTCTCGAGGGAAGATGTTCAATTTGAGCTGGTATCAGTAACTGATGCGTTACTATGACCAAAAGTACTTAAGAACAGGATTTGAAAGGAGGTTATAGAAGGATATGAAGGTTTGGGATGGTTGAGTTGAGAAAGGAACACCTTAAGTGGCAACAAATAATGAAGTTCAAGGCACTGACAATAAACTGCATTAATTCACTGTTTTGTCCAAAATTGGCCTCATATTAGAAAATCTAAACTACTAGACATTATTGAAACCATTTGTCATTTAGTCATCTAAAAATCATTCAAAATGTATATATTTATATATATTTTATGTTATATATATAATTACAGTTTCCTAGAGAGAATGAATATATATTTATACGTAATTTTGTCTTCATTCTTTCCAGAAAACTTCAGTTATCCAAGTTATGGAAATAAACCTTTCGATTTCTAGGCCAACACTCTCACTCAACATTACGAGCTCCTGTTCTATTTCTTACAATGATTCTTCATTT